CTGTTAATATTTGTTTCTATGACAGAACTCTATTGATTGAGTTCCATGTTTGTTTCTAACTCGAACTAATTCTTCTAGTCTTCTATTCCTAAGAACAGTCAACATAAGCTAAAAACATAAATAACCAATACAATCACCCAGGGCAAACAGTGAGGTTGAAGTGTAACTGCTGCAGTTCTCTATTCTGGCCTTAGTTTGTATTCTGTTAGAAATTATTAGTCTGTATTCTGTTAGTTAGTATTTCTGTTAGAAATTGTTTTCCTTGTTTTTCATCTACTGTGAAGACAGTCTTTTAAGGATGTCTTCTTGCTCATGGGATGCTGTGTATGGAGAAATAACTATTACACATTTGGGGTTAGTAATTTTTTTCTTTCTTTTAGGGGCATAACAAAACCAACAGCATTAATGCAATTCTAGTCTGTCTTTATTTTCTCAATAGAAAATATAGATACAACCAACAGCCTTGGGTAAGCCTAAAAATATTCCACAAATTCCTGAAGTTTCAGCTTAAAAGTTCTTTCTAACTGTGCATTGAACCTATTTGAAACTAAAATAAATTTACCATGGAACTTGGTATTACTGTTCATGGTCATATTTCAGATTATAGCTGTATTACGCAGCATGGTTTCAAGAACCATACATGAGAAATGTTTGGTTTATTTTTAAGTTATTTAAGATGTTCCCCCAAAATCCCTATCTGAAAGAGATTGTTTCTTCTCTTCCCTGTAGTGCACTTACATGGTAATAGCAAAATAACAGAACAAGTATCTATAAACTTTTACAACTATGTTTTTGTTTTCTAAAACAAATGTGGGAATATTTAATATACCTCTACTCTTTTAGTCACAAAGATTTCATGTTCAGGGTGTGGGGGAATGGAAGGCAGAAAAAAGTACTTTTGAAAGGCAAGTATTTTAATAGTTCTGTTTATCATCAAGACCGGTGGTTTTGGTTTATTAATTCATTGCATAATATGATGCCTAAAACTGGTTCAAGTGTACAGTATGTTTGCCACAAATTGGACTTAAGTAGTCTTTCATTGCGCACTCTAGTCATGTCATTATGTTTGATAGGTTTGGGGTTTGCCAATAAATGATGACAAGGTTAATATTCAGTTACTTGGTATTATGAGCTCTTGTATATAAAACCTGATCATGAGCAGCTTTAATATATAGCAAAATATTTCTAGTTCATGTGAGAAGTACATGTTTGTCTTCACCTTAAGTAGTTTTCTGTACCTTTTTACCAGATGAATAAGTACTGAACATTAGAGCCTGGCCTTGGGTTATGCTGTTACTAATCCAGAGTAACACATCGTCTTTATTAGAGCTATTCTATAATTCACTATTGTAATTAAAATAAAATATTATATTGAAGTTGTTCTATTTCCATTCCACTTGGACACTGTTACATGTAGGCTAGGGGTTGTGTTGCCTTTCCTGAATTAGTCTTCTACAAAAATTTGTCTCCTTGTATAAATCTTATTTGGGAGGGCCATCAAAATGTGGCTAACCCATTATCTTAAACTGGCAATAAAAAAACATGGTGTATGTTCACTGTAAAAACGTTCTCTATTTATTTGAGTTGCAGTATCTGACCTGTAATTTAAACTATAATTTAAATCTTAATAGGTCAAAGTGTGCTTACTATGGGTTCTTTTCAAAATGTTGATTCAAAACATGAAAGAGGAAATTAAATGGGTGAGCCAGTACATGCAGTGCCTGTGGATTACCAGTGGCAGTAAGGAGGTTCCAGCATAAAATGGCTTTTGCCTGATGCACAGCATACAGGGAGTCTTTGGTTGAGAGAAAAAGAAAATGTAATTAGAGATACAGTCACTGATATCTAAAAATACTATTTAAAAGTGTACTAGAACACTCTAAAATAAACTTGTAAAATAATCCAGCACAAACCATTTAGAAGTAAGTGTAGTTTTTTAAGTTCTCTTCATTTCAGGACATGTTTTGGCAGTATTCTTTGTAATAAAGATGAAAAAAACTGTTTCTAACCAAGCATTCAAAGCCGAAAGACTTGAAGGCTGCAGTCAGTTCAAGTGCTGTGTGAGACAAAAATAACAACCTCCGAGCGTCAGGTTTTCCATTCTTGACGCACCAGGTGAATGGGTTGTTTTATTGAGCGTTTACACTGTGGTGGCAGGGCAGGCCAGAGGAAGGGAGTGTGAAAGAGCGATGCGAGAGCTGAGTCAATACCCGACGTTGTTGGATGTCTGTCAGTACTTGGAACGCTAGGGTTGGCTGCGTTAGCGTTGCCAAGTATTAGCTAAGTGTGCTGCTTTGGCAGCAGATTCTCAGAACTTACTTTCTACAAAGAGGGAGAGTAAGTTCACTTTTAAAAGAACAAAAATCTGTAAGGGCAATTATTTTGAGGGCCATTTCAACACTCACTGTGAATTTCTGTAACTTCTCAAATAGCTTTCTAGCCTGCATATTTAAAACCAAATTAACTTCTTAGTTTTATTTGTATTTCTCTTTTTTCCCCCCCATTTCTTTTAACACTATTTTCCTCCTTAAGTTGCAGATAAGTATTTACAAAAGTTTTCTAATTTTAAAAGTCCATTACAGTCTAAAATGTATCTTTTCAGTTGAGTTCGATGAAACAGAAACACCATGAACTGAAGTGCATTCACTTCTACAGCCTTAAAATAACAAGGTGGCTTACTCATGTCCATTACTTCAAGTGTTTATGTAACTACATTGTATTTACTTTTCTATTGCATATGAGCAACTAATTACTATAGCACTTCTCACTTCTTATAGTATTTATAATTCCGTAGTCACCAGCAACTTTAAATACAAACAAAAAAAAGCATAGCACTCTGTAGGCTGTACAGAAGGACTCACAAAAACTTTATCTATCTATATAAAAATACAAATCCCTCTGTGTCTCCCATGTATCATCCTGCAAATTCCTTTTTCTTGCTAATCAAGGGCCTGACTGTTCTCATCGTATTCTGATTCCTTCTTCCAAGTCTCCTGTAGTCTGTTGCGCAAAGAGATGTAGAGGTGGGGATTGGGGCATGAAGAGGGATTCCTGAAAAGTCAGGACACACATGTTTTTCTTCCTGAACTGCCTCATGTTTCCCCATAAACAATATTGTGGACCCACGTTTTTATATTATTTAGTTAAAGATCTGCTGTGTCATATTGGTTCATGGCACAGGAGGTACAGTTCTCATTTCAAAGAAACTAAAATTTTGAGGTGTCATAACTTGAGAATGACAGATAAGAAGGGAGAAAGGTGATAATACATATGCAAGCACTACGGGAATGCATCTATGTTATATGGGAAGGTTACCAAATCACTACTATGCGCTATGGGGAGACAGGTTTTGATGTCTGGGGAGATGCTGAGAAAGGAAAAGGTAAGGTTCTCATGGAAAGTTCTGTCATTCATTTTATTTAGACAATTTTTTTAATTATCTGCACCCTTTGGGAGCTTTTGTGTGCACCTGAAGGATCTGACACATTATAGCATGATAAGTCTTTGCTGACTAATTCAGGAGGGGTTCTCAAAGAATACGGATGGTAGAAAACAAGATTTGTAAAGCAGCATGTTGAACAGTTAATGCATCCTTTTTTTTCCCTTTGAAAAAAGGAAACTGAGAATAACACAAGATAACAAATAGGAGGGGACATACAGAGCAGTCCCATGCAGTGACTCTGCCAGTGATACATAATCAGAATTACAGAATTGTACAGGCAGGCCTTACAAAGCTACACACATTAGGACAGCACTACTGCAGGTTTAATACTGCAAGCACCTGTATGGCAAATACTTCAAGGTTGATTGAGGAATAGATAGATTACTGGAGGAGACGTGCCAGTGAACCAGCCGTGGAACTGAACCTGCCGTTCTTGCCATGGAAATGGAATGACAGTAAAACACATCTCTAGTCGAGACTTTCAGATGCGACACAGTTCAGGAATCAGATCATGGTCCTGGGACTTTCAGGTTTTTGTAAGGGCTCTGGGTTGAGACCTGGTAACTATCTACAGGTCTAATTTGGGTGAAATCAAACTGGGCACTTCAGGATACTTCCAACTACTCTTCCCAGCAGTATGTTGCAATCTCCCAGACAAGACTGGCACACACTCAGTGTGTCAGTGCCAGCGCAAAGAAGGGAGTGGGGATAATGTGGCCATCTGTATCCAGAGCAGAATGGTGTGGCTGTCTGCATGCAGGGCAGGACTGCAGCATGCACAGTTTACATTGCTTTGCGCTCAGAACCACACCCAAAGGATTGAGGTATTTTTCCTCCATATCCTCCTAAAGCAAAATGAAACAGTTCAGCTTTTAACTGCTGGTGGTTAAAAGTAAACTGTGTAACTTTGTGCTGGAAGACAGCAGAGCATAATAGGCATATTTAGGATCTGTTGGGAGGATGCTGAGAAATCTGCTGCTGCTTGGATGTTAGTTAATGCCATACAGTCAGGCTGTAATCGCTGATAAAACAGCCTGGGAAATTAATCAGCATATGTATGGGATCTGTTTTAGCAGGTGTGCTGTGAATGAATGTGAAAGGTTACTTAGTTAATTCTGAATATCCAGTTAGTTAATAAACATTAAAGTTTAATTTTCAGACTGAAAAATGGATAGCAGCTATTTGGATAGCAACAACTATCTAGAGTTCTTCTGTGCTATTCTTTAACTTGGCAAGAAAAGAGGCTGTTACTAAATCAGTATGAGCTATTCTGGAGAGAAGGAAGTATTTATTTTGTCTGGCACTCCATGTCCCTTTTGCATAATAATGCATGATTAATTATTCTTCTGTCGCTTATAAGCTTCTTGGTTTGTCTGTGGTCAGATCTAGTTATTTATTTAAACTGCTGTGATGAGCAAGAAATTTCCTATACCTCTTAAATATATTCCAGTTAATAAACATATTAAATACATTTTATTACTGCTTTTAGTTAACCAACTTCAGAATTCTATGAAAGAAACAATGTTTGTCAACGTACATGCTGTATGTTTATCAACAGGCCAAGTTCTGGTAGAAATTTCAAGAACGCACAAGAAACTTAATGACAGTCTAGAGGAGAGTGTAAGTTAAACAATTTATTTTTTAAAATTTATTTTCCTTTTGAAGTTATAAACTACTTTTGCCAATTTTTAATAACCCTTCATTCATTTTCTTTTAAAGTTCAAAAAATTTCATAAAGAAATTATATCTGAACTGGAGAAGAAAACTGACCTGGATGTAAAATATATGAATGTAAGTATATTCAATTCTAAAAGTCGTATTTTATTTATCTATTGCTAGTCAAAGAATTTTTCAGAAATTGTACCCTAACAGTTAATTAATACATTAGAACTGAGCTTTAGATGCATGAACATGGCAAAAATTTTCATGCTTATTTTGAGTTAAAAAGGGAACCAATGCATGACTTAATAGCATTTTTAAACTAAAGTTGAGAAAGGCAATTGCCGAATTCATTTGATGTGTATTAGTGATATCTCATAGATTATGGTGATGCTTTTTAGTCACTTACCCAGTTACATGGCTGAGTGCATCATGAGATGTTTTAAATGCTTTGATTGCAGGCAACTTTAAAGAGGTACCAAACTGAACACAGAAGCAAATTAGATTCTTTAGAGAAGTCTCAGGCTGAGCTGAAAAAAATCAGAAGGAAAAGCCAAGGAGCACGAAATGTCATGAAATATGAGCATAAAGAAATGGAGGTCAGTGTATTGTTTCTTATTTGTTTCTTTCTTTGTATGAGAACTGGTCAACAGAAAATGTTAAGCTATTACAGGTCACCTCTGAGTCTGTTTTAAAACTTGACTTCTGAAGCTTACCACAATTTTTGTATATGCAGTGTTATTAGTTAATACACATAACTCCTCTGTAAGTTGTTTGGCAATAGTTAAACTCTACAATTTCAAAGAACATGCGTTTTTGGTTCCTCAAAGTTGGTTTATATTAAAGACATTCCTAGAATATGTGTTCAGGTTGAAATTAAGCTCTGGACTGCTCTGCTGTACATATTCAGAGACTTCTGCTTCAGTTTCTAGGTTTCATCCCTTGATGACTACTCAATTTTTATTTTATTTTTTAAAGTACCTCTGTAACTACACCTTTATGCAAAGGTTTACACAGGGAGTCAGCTATACTATGCAAATTCAGTAGTGATTTTCTATAAATTAATTTCCCAAAGTAGGCAAATGCCAACTTCTGTTACCACTTACAACCTTTCCTACTGATCTTAAAACAGCATTGCCATCTTAAGGCGAAATAAGAAATGGCAAGGCAATGAAGAGAAACTATTTTAAATTAGTAAGTCATATTCAGGTTGTCATGGATCTCTCAGAAAATACTTCCCATTGATATTTTTATTTCCACAATACTTTTACTTCATGCTAGTTTATGTATTTTTTCCTCTATATTTTTCTATTTTAATTTTCTTTTCAAAGAAAGCTTTGTGTATAACAAGGTACAGTAAACACAAGTAATACTAGCTCCTATTTCTTACTACCTATCTTTTAACCTGCATTCATAACAGTTCTTTTTTTTAAGGTTTTGGACTGAGAATTCAAGGATTAGCATTTAATCACAGTTTAGCCATGAATCCTCATAACCTCAGATAAATACAGTTTAGTCTTTCTAGTAACTCACCTTCCCCTCTCTAAAATGAAGCAGAGATTCATCATAGCTTTGTGAGAGTAAATGTAACTGCTATGGAGCAGACGAAGGTAATTAGTCTAATTAGAACACCTGTGGCCTTAAAATTGCTCAATGCAGTTGCTGCTTTGATGTCATATTCTTATTTACTGCAGCATTTTATTTAGAGGCTAAAAGACTGTTTCTTGTTTTGCTTCACTTCCCCCACCCCCTAAATAGGTTATTGATTGCCTGTAATGAGAATATACATTTACCTGATGAGATTAGGGAAGTTAGGTGTGTGCATGAAAAGAAGCAGCCTTGGAAGTAGAGCCACCCTACCCCACCTGCCTTTCCAAAAGCTTTTTCTAAGGCTTTTAGTTTGTTTCAGTAATTGGATATAGTACCAATAAAACTCAGAGACTGTATGTGATTTTTTTTTTTTCTTTTTTTTCCTTAGTATTTGGAAACCGTGAGCTCTCGACAGAGTGATATTCAGAGATTTATTGCAGAAGGCTGCAGAGAAGCTCTCCTAGAAGAAAAAAGAAGATTCTGTTTTCTGGTTGACAAGCACTGCAGCTTTACCCAGCACATACACTTCTATCACATTCAGGTCAGTGGCATGAGTGTAAACAGAAATGAAACTCCTGAAATCTAATCATATAGATCAGACTGCCATAAATAGCTAAGATAGCACTTAGGAACAGTGTAGTGCCAGACAAGTGTTGTGATGAGTTCATAGAAAATGTTTACAATGCAATATTCTCTTAAGTGTATTGTAGCAATAATAAAGGGTTACTGTGACTTTTTTAAAAATCAGATACTAAGAAAAACATGTATGGACTGATCAGGGGTGTTTCCAGTACCTGACCTTGAAAAAGGACAGTCTCTTTCTACAACATGCTGTTTGTTTCAAACAGGTATTACTTAGAAAAATCTTTGAAAAGACTTCCATTTTGCTGGTGTTATCATTTTGGTATAATAAAAATTAACAAGTATGTCTGTACAATTTTATGAAAAAGCATATCTTTGACAAGTACCTTTTAAACTTGGATGCAGTGTGCGGACTTCCTAAAATCCAAGCTGCCTGGGTGGCAGGAAATCTGTAGTGATGCCACCAAAGTGCCTGAAAAAGTCAGAATGATGATAGACGAAATAAGGACACCTGGTTCCACACCAATATCAGGAACTCCACAGCCTTCACCAATGATAGAGAGAAATACCATGGTATGTTGTTGTTTGATGGTTAAAGGTTCTCTCTCTTTAAATGGGAGTAGATGGGCTTCACCAGCTTCTTCTGAACCCAAGCATTTGGGATTGAGTCTATAATGTACCTCAGTTGGAATATTCTGGGGTTGGCTATGAAAGCAAAATCATTAAGCTGAAGCTCTGCTACTGGAAAAATACACAGTATAGTAGGCAGAAGCACATATCCAAACAAGGGTCAGTTGGGTGCCTAGGACTTTTTCTACAGAGCCCAGCCTCAGGACTACTTTTGTTCTAACCACTCCATTTCTTATGTTCTTGTCTGTAAGTAATAGTAATTACATACTCAGTAGTTCAATATAAAATTAAACAAAATGTTATTTTCTGTTTTCTTTCCTTCTTCCTTCTTCCCTCCATGATTCTTATTAGAGTACAGGTTAAATTCTAAATTCTACCTACTCGTATGTTGTGTCACCATTAATTGTTGAATTTCTAAATGATATTAGTAAATTTCTAAAAAAAAAAAAAAATAAATAAATCTGGAGATTATCTAGGTGTAACTGTGCTATTGGGGGGGTAGGGGGGAAAGCAATCATAGCATTCCCACTAACAAATGTTTATCAAGGGACAGAAGCCTTTTACAAACTATTCTATCAGCAATTTCATAGGAACATGAGGAATTTCTGACAGATCTAAATATGTATCATTTGGTAATAATTAAGCATTGCTTTCTAGAATTTAACACTGCAAATAAGTTGTCACTGTCTGCTCAGTATTGTGATAGTGTTGTTTTTGTGACTCTAGATTGGAAGTGATTTTTACTCTCATCATGAAAATGCATCAAAGGTGCCCCCTGCTCCTACAGGTAGGGCGTACACTAGTCCACTAGTTGATATGTTTAACAATCCTGCAACGGTTCCGAAGACATCTTCTGAAAAACTAAGTAATTCAGCAGGTGAGTGTCACTGTGCTGCAAACTATATAAATGTAAATGACACACTATAGTGTTTGAAATTCTTAGGACTTCTTGACTACTATGATGATGTGAATTCCAGGATGTATAGAGGAGTAGAAAATGGTCTTTACAAAGCATTTATGTAAGTTGCCTAACAGGAGAAGTATGTGTTATAAGAGAATTGTTTGCAGTAAATGCAGGTCAAGACAGGTATTTTATTCTATTTTAATCACTTTCTGTGTGTCCCTGATTAACCCAGCTTAACTGCTCTTGTGACTTCCAATCTTATCAGAAGAATACATTCTATAATTTTGAACAAGATAAATCTGAGTGATTATTGCAGTGCACACAAGTAAACATAAACTACTATTACAGTCTCACTTTGGTTTCCTTTAAGGGCATGTAGCAGTTAGGGAAGAATGCACATGGGACAAAATGAGCCGAGTCTTGCATTTCTTTCCTGAAATGTAAAATCCTTTTAAGATTTGTTTTCTAAGTTTCTAATAGATTCATATTTTTACTTTCTCTGCTATAGGGAAGGAAGGGAAAGAACTAAGTCTAGATCACAACATAAGAAATGCAAACTCTTCAATGTGATAACAGCAAGTCCAGCACTTCTTCCTTAAAAATGCATTTACAGTATATTGTACTGGTCAAATAACATACAATTTTGAGACCTTCTTTATGTTGTCTTCTGGTCTGCTGTCTGAAAAGTGCCAAGTATCTGCAGCTCTTGTCGATTCAGCTGAAGTTGAGTGCTAGGCACGTTTGAAAATGAAATCTTGGCCTTTATACAGTTAGATTATTTTAGAATGGAAAACTTTCAAAGGTCTTTTACGGCTGTGAACATTTAGCATTTTTCATGTCAAAAGAGGAAAGAAGTAGCAAGTTAAAACTTACATAACTTTTTATGTCTGTTGGTTCAACTTTACTGTGATGGGGGCAGGGGGTGTCTATAAATGCACATGCTATTAAGAACTTAATGGTGATAAGAAACATTGGCAGATAATTGAGAGGTGTCTAAGTGGAAACCAAAGCAGTACAAAGTCTCAGAACTTGATTTGCACTTGAGTATTCTTTTATCTACTTTTTTTTTCCTGTCACATGACTAATTGTATTTAATTTTGTTAGTGTGTGGCTAATTTTGCCTTTTTTTTTTTTTGCTTTTTCTTTTTTTGACAGAGAATTCAGATGATGCCAGTTTATCGCGTTCAACTTCTGTTGCCACAGGGCTAAATATAATGAAAAGGCAAAAAGTAAAGACGATCTTCCCACATACTGCTGGAAGTAACAAAACGTTGCTTAGCTTTGCACAGGGGGATATCATCACACTTCTTGTAGCTGAAGAAAAGGATGGTTGGCTTTATGGGGAACATGACACAACTAAAGTGTAAGATAATGAATATATTACCCAATTGGAACATGTAGGAAAAACGTGTCTCATCAGATTTTGTTAGCAGATATTAGTAAATGGTTTTCCACCTTTTTTGCTGGCTGTCATTGACTGGGGACTTGGACTCTTTCTGTAAGGTAAATCGCTGCAGTTATTTTAGGGAGATTTTGTACATTAATTTGGTGTCATCAGAAATCAGGTCTAAAAATTAAATCTCAGTTCGACTCTACTGTTTTGCCCACTGTTGTCTTTGGAAAGATCTTTCCAATTTTATATAATATGAAATTGAAAACCTTTCCCATTACAGAAAAGGATGGTTTCCATCATCGTATACTAGACCACTAGAAGAACCAGCAGAAGAAAAAGCCTTTGTCCCAGTGCCAAGGTAACATTTTGGGTGGGACTTGCAGAAATGCCCAAATCTTCTCTAACATTTATTAAAAATATTACTTTTTCTGCTCATGTTCTTTGTTGTTCAGTAACATACATGGTAAATACTTTCTAACACTCTGTAATATGATGCCTTGATTACATTAACGTGTTTTAATGGTTGCACAAAGACCCAAGAACTAACTTCACCCCAACTTTGAGTCCCACTGACTTCAGTGGGACTGTACACCTTTATTAACTTTCAGCTCATGCACTTCTGTACTTTCCTGGGTTAAAGATAAGTGAGAGAGGTGTATTATAGGAACTGAAAATATTTGTTGGGTTCTGTCTTGCAGCCCTGCACCAATCCGAAGTATTAGTTCTGTAAATCTTGTGGAAAAAGGTGATGTTGTCCTCCCACCGCCAGACTATCTGGGGTCTTTGCAAACAGATAAAAGAATGGAGTCTTCCAAAGGTACTACTGTTAAAACGCCAACTGACAGATCAGAAAATGCAGGTCCGGTAAGTAATCAATACCATGAATCCAAACACTTTTCCTTGCTTACTTTTCGTGACCTACTTAGCTGAGCTCTTAAATGAGGCCCCAGGATATTCTACTTTAGCTACTTGTGCTTCAGTGGCCCTTCAATGCAGCTGTCTTCAAGAGTATAATTTTTTTTGGCATTTCAATTCATCTGTAGTAATAGGAAGGGAGAAGAATTGTTCAGGGATATAACTAAGAGTACTAGGAGACTTACTCTGCATAGCAAACTTCTCAGGAATGGAATCTGTTAAACATGAAAAGAAATTCTCACAGGAAGTAGTACAAATCCATCATCTTAAGTGATTTTAGAGCTATAGGGGGACAGGGGATTTAAAGCAGCTTAAACTCTGTATTCAGGAATGCTTTACACAACCCCATGAAAGTTAGTGTTGTTTTTTTGGATGTTGCTGAGGGATATATGTACTAACTACCGTCTATATTCAGCAAAACCACAGCTGAGTAGAAATACATTTTTATTAATAGATAATGCTGTATAAAGCTAGTATTTCTGCTATTAAGTCAGCATTCAAACTGATTCAAAATGAAGACTAATCTAATGAAATTAAGCAATTACTAGTCTTTTTCTTGCTGCTTGTTTAAATATTTTGCTGATGTGTATCTAATAGCGATAAATGTTTTTGAGACTTTCTTCAAAAAGCCTCTTGAAGCAGAGATCACATTTTGATGGGAAAAAAACTTTCTGTGATTTTATATATTATATAAAATTAGGTTGTCACCGCTAAAATTGAGAGACTGTACCAGAGTGAAATGCAAAGTTCCATTAGCAGGTACCATTGCAAACTTCTTGGAAGTCAGGAATCCTATAGTTGGCTGCCAGTAGCTAAAAAATTTACATTTTATTATTTATTGGTATGACTAAAATATTTTGTATATCAATATAACATCTAAACAAATTTTGGGTTGTCGTTCTGACAGATGTTTCTGCTTTCTAAGTAATCTGTTGAATCACACAGTAGAAACTGAAGTGACCTTTGTAAATTTGTGCTTTATGGAAGTAAAATTAACTAAAGAAGCTTAAAAAGCACAAACTGAAAGTCTGTTGGATCACATTTTGATTAATGGTGATTGAGTCCATTTAAGGTCAAAGGGTGACAGAAAATTTGTAATGGTACTCCTGTAAAATGGAAAGGCATCAGGAAACAATGGTTGTCTTTAAAGAAGCCTCCTTTCCTTCTGTTTCATTTAAATCTACTATTAGGATGTCAGGTATATCTACACCATTGTTTTACTTAGAGGTATTAGGCATTGGAGGGGGTTAACAGGTCTTTGTTATATTGACAAGCAAAGAGAATGAACTGGGTTTAAGTAAATAAAAATAGAAACATTCCTTTAATAGTAACAAAAATGTAACTAACTTCCAATACATCACTCTAGAAAAAACTACCATTGGAAAGACAGAAGCATGACGCAAATTACATAAATTGTCAGTAACATCGGAATTTTAAACTATTATCTGCATTTCAGAAGCATGGAGAAAGACAGAATTGTAACAAATGGGAGGAAAAGAAAGGTTAATTTTATTTCTTGAGTAAATAGTGTGTCTTCAAATAAATCACTTTTGTAATCACATCACAGACTTGTATCTAGCTCTTAAAAGAAGGAACAGGTCACCTCAACTTTACAAATACAAAAAATGTGAAAAGTTGCTGGAGGTTCAGCTATACAGGCCTTTCAGAATTGTTCCCTCCAGCCGTACTTGGCTTTGTAAAACCACTCTACAGCTATTTCAGAAGAGCAGCTATAGATACAATAGAGTTGCACTTCTGCTAACTTCTGCCAAAATACCTCTTGCAGATGCAGAAATTGAAACAAAAGTATCTTTTCTCTGGCAAGGAGGGGGAAAAAAAGGCTAGTGCTTCCCATTCCAGGAAAATCTGTGTTCCTTAAAATGCATGAAGAACTAGAAGCAGACCTAAGAGCCTTTCATAAAGAAAAGGATGAAAGTTGCTCGACAGAGACTTGTGAAGCTCTCTTCTCAGTTAGATCTTACCCCCTTTAGACTACAGTAGTAATGTTTGGGGATATTTTTTTCATCTAAATATTCCTATTAAAAGATTAGCTGATTGGTTTTTTTGTCAGAACAGTCTTAATATTAGCATGCATATTTGAATCCACATTCAAATAAGTGGTTTTATTTATCACTAATGAGCCTTCTTGTGTAGGAAGTATATAATTTGTGCAGTGATGTCGTGTTTCTAGGACAATGTTTTTCTATGAGGAATAAAGTTTGTCCAATGCATGAAATGAGTATCAAGAAATAAGATCTAAATTTTAGTGTTCAGTCACTTTCAAATCAAATATCTGGGAACTTCTAAAATGATTATGAAGACAAGCATCTATATTTTGACACATTTGTGGTTTTCATTTTTGGATACAGAAGCAATGAGCCTTAACAATTATGTAATGTCAGATTTATACATTGGTTCGCTGCTTCCATGGCTAGCTGTTGAGACCTATGGGATCAACATGTCCTTCAAATGTAATTATGTTTGCAATAGTTAAAAGACGTACCGGCCTGTGGAAGTTGCCAAGCAAGCAGTACAGCGAGTTCTTTGCCCTGTGACAAGCTCTATAGTAAGTCACATTTACTTAAAAATAACTGAACCCATTAAATTGTCTCAGTATCACTGTACTGTGCTGCTGTCTTTAGTATGGCTAACTAGGAGTGCTGGAACAGCTAGGAACTCCTGGTACAATAGGTGGTGTGCCTGAAAAGGAAAGGCTTGCAGGCCTTTGTTCAGCAGTGAAATTTTAAGTATTGAAAACAAAATGGCCATACAGACTGAATGATTAGTACAAGTCAAGCTGCTACATAAAAGGTGACTGCATATTCCTGCTTCCACATGCAAGAATGTACATTCAAATTTTCACTTGGAACTTTATCTGACACATATTAGAAGCACTGCAATTAGTTTGCAGTTTGAAATAATGTAATTTTTAAGTATGATTATTACTAAAAGTTGGGGGGGGGGGAGGAGTAGAAATGAACTGTTTGCCAAAACTTCCGTGTAGCACAACAGGCTTGCAAAGGGTGGTACTTTGCAACAGTTTTCCATTTTATCACAGCTGAAACACTGCATCCTGTAGTAGCACTGTGCCAGAGCCACACTGCCACCTTTTGCGTTAGCTTAACATCACAGGAATGATGTACACTCCATCACAGAAGTACGGTGCAAACTGTAGCTATAAAAACAAGTCTTTTCAGATTGTACATTTAGGCATGACAGTTTCATTATAAGGAAATATTAGCAATAGCTATGCAAAACTACTCCTCCTTTTGTATCATTCCCATATGAACAATACAAATTATATATGTACATGCCATTACCTGTTTTCTTGCCTTTTTTACTCACCAGCACTACTCACAAAAGTCACGGGAGATACCGGAACTTGCACTTTGTAAATCAATGATAGCTCAACACAGTAGGTTGTATAAAAAAATTCTACATGATACTGATCAGAAATCTGCCCTCACTTCAGGCTTTTAGTATTTAAATATGTCATTATGTGGCTGCTGCCTTTTTTAACTTCATGACTTTACAGATGCACTGACTGTGTTCACTCTGTAAGATCTGCTCCAAGACTAGTTTTGGCATTTTGCTGTGACAACTAGCACTTTATAAATTATGCTATAGAAACAATATGGTATGATATTTGTGCCGCAAGTAGTTCTGTCCTTTTTCTTTTGGTTGATAGCTGTTGCAGTGACATTTTGTTTGCTATTTTAACCTATAAAATGCTGAGCTAGACATCAGGTGATCACCGATCTTAAACCAAGCGGGTGGGTACAGCACAAAAAACCCCAAACCAACAAATGCTAATGCAGTTTTTTAACTTCCTAATTTTGATGTTCTGAGATAATTCTCCCCTCTATACCTCTCCACAGTTCAACTGAACTATACAATAATTATTTTAAATAGCTAAATATTTTAGCCTGCTTGAATGACAGGGTCTCTTTTCCTTAGCAGGCTAGTGAGACCACCTGTAGCATGTTTTTGTAAATCTAAGTAAATATCTTCTTTTTTCTTTTACAGAAACCTGATATGAATGGCATTATAAAACCACCTTTTCTAAGGTATGGGGTTTTTCTTAAAGCTTTTACACTAATTTACTTGTGTTGATTTTTATATTGGCTTATTTATTCTACTGATTGATTGTGAGGGGAAATAAGGCTGTTTCTTCCAAATTACTCTGTGAGGAATAAGGATATTTCTTCCTAATTACTCTGTGACCTTTCCTAGGCATTGGTAAAACATTATGGCTAAAATTGGTTGCACTTCTCTGAAGAGTGGCGTCAGGTAAAATACATTGCATTAGGCCCTTCTCAGAAAAGTGTTTCTCCAATAGTTTGACAGGGGGCAGGACTTAAACTATGTCTTTGAAGGTTATAAACAAAAGTCTTTTGATGACTGGGAGCTATTTAAAAAAAACATACAGATCTAACTGGGTATCAACTTCCCAAATTTTGGATTACTGCAAAGTGAGTCTTCATATATAAGCTTGTTTAAAAAAATTCAAGTTAAACTAAGAGTTGCACAGAGTCCTTTAGTCTAAATTCATAACTTAGTCTTCAGACAACTTGGATGAAGAAACTGCATGGCTTAAATTTGGGGTTGTATTGCAGCAAGCCTTATAGTAACTTTGTGCATTTCTTTTCAGTGGAGAAAATCCTTTTGCAACTGTGAAACTCAGACCAACAGTAACAAATGACAGATCAGCACCAATTATTCGATGAATATACAGTCCACACACATGTACTTCTTCCTTATAAACACCATTTTCAGTAATGACAATTACTATCTAAAGTTGTTCTAAAAATTTATTTAAATGTAATTACTGTACAATAGAATCATACTGGAATGGATTTCTGATTTTTTTTTTAAACCTATACTTTCTCATGAGGCAATTGCTTTGGGCTAATGTTTGAGCACTTTGGCTTGATTTTACAATATGCCTTTTTTTGCAGTAGGAATTGTGAAAATACTGGAGATAGTTTGGATACTCTAGTAAACCAGTATAACTAATAGCTCACAAATCAATCTTTGGCATTCATTATTTGGAAACTGCAATGGTAAGTTCTAAAATATAAGCCTGCATATGCCACTTGCTAAATAAGATGATTTTTTTTTTCAGACAGAACAATGTAACAACTGCCTTATTCCAGAATAGAAAATTACCTGTATAAAGTGATGATACATTATTTTGTTCAAGACAGACACCCTAGGTTATAAATAAATATTTATCCTTTAAGAATAGACAATTTGTAATGCTTTGCTTAATGTTCAGGTACAAAGTTTCAAGTGTTAACATAAACCTAGTTTAAGTCTGATGTTGTAATGTCAACACATTCAATAACTACTTCTTTTAAACATGTTGTCAAGCTTTAGTCTTGTAAAAAGTCATAATAAAAGTGCCATGAATTTTTTCCTCAAATTCTAATATAAAAAGCTGCCTTTGAAGTTATTCCATTACTGCAGCCTTCCACAACAGAAAAACAGATTAAGCTTGAAAATTTTTGGTTAAGGAGCCTAGCAATGGCCTAAATGCTGGTATAGTATAGTATCTGAGTTAAGTGAAATACACCTTTTAACTTCAGTCACAAGCAGAGTTGTACAGTTGGTTACCTCAGGCCCAGATCTTCTAAATCCAATGGAGCTAGCTTGTCTGAAAAGAGTTTTCCTACAGTAATAATCATCTCACAAATTAGCCTAGAATGTTAGAAACTGACTCTCCACGCTGCATCAGCGTGGAGTGCTTTATCACTGTACAGTTTGGGTGATATACAGCAGGTGGGAAATGAAGTCTGTATTGTGACTACTGCCAGTGCTTAATCCTTACTCTAAATCATTCTACTTCACATATGTACATGCTTCCTACAGCATCCTATGGTTATTAATTTTGTTGTGCCTGCTTCTATTACTATAAACAGTGAATTCCAGTTGTGAAATGCCTTTCAGTTACTTAATACCAAAAAACAGTATATGAGCATGTAATGGCTGCAGAGGTAGAGTCCACTCATTCCACGTCTTTCTCTCACACTGCCTTTCAAGTTCAGGGCTGAGGACACTTCATTTGCCATGGAACCTTGCAAAAATATCCATTATCCCATTTTGAAACACCAACTTTTCAGAAGTGTAACTTATACCTCAGCCAGTTTTCTAAAGCATATTAGAGGAAAGTCAACCTAGACGGTATAAGCTTTCAATAATATAGTGTCAGAAGGAAATAATCTGAAATGCAAAAATCTTTACTCAGGGCAGCCCATACTTGGCAGTGCCACAGCCTCTCTTTCTAGAGAAAAGTGCCCTGCTGCAGACAGAAGTTACTGGTGTCTGTGAACTAATACCAATTCCACAATGTTAAGAAGCTTCTGCTACAGCAGATAGGACACTGCCACTGCAGCCCTTGGAGGTCATATGTGTCCCCACAACCAAAACCTTCACTAATTAAAATAGAGATTTTACTGTTTGTTATTACTAGTGCCTTCAGAAGACAGAGACTGTCCACTAGCATAGTGGTAGCACACACAGCACTTGCAACCCTTTCCTCAAAAAATTCTGATACGCTTAAACAAGTACAGCCATAAACCAAGTCTTATGATAAAAAAAAAAAAAGGATTCTGACAAATATTTATCCTTCTTTGTAGCTAGGATTACTAACTCCACTTTCAGACTACATGTAATCAGACACATTAGTCACATACTTAATAATCCAGCCACAAGTTGAGGATTGCAAAAGGAAAAGCAGTTTTATTTAGTTTTCAACAGGTGCCACTAAACATGGAAAACAAGTTGGGTTTTCATGTTTTGCAATGCACATGCTCATAAAAGATTAAGTTTAAATTACATGCAAGAGACTAAATTTCTTCACACTTTACAAAACAGGTCTGAAGCAAATAAAATGATTGTACATGACATTTACATTAGAAAGAGTATGCTAACAGTTGTAGCTTCCATAAGCACATCCACGTTCATCCCCTTAGCCAAAAGCTGCCCCACAATTAGGGCATCTTCTCTGCCTCAGTGCAAGACAGAACAGAATCCCAATTGGAAAGAATACAATGGCACACAAAACACCAAGACAGGTGAAGGTGTCCTCCAACACGCCAACCCTGTAAAAATGGAAAACAAACTTAGTCAAGGACACCCACCAACTTTGCCCCAAAGTTACCACTTTGTGATCTGACAGTCACTAAAAAACCCTTGTTTTATATAGCAAGATAAAGTACAAAGAGGTTTTGGGTTTGTTTGGGTTTTTTGGTTTTTTTTCCTTTAAAAGGAATTTATTTTCATAGCTTGCAGCAGCAGATTTTGAATTATACCACTTAAAAGAAAAACAGGAAAGTTGCAGGTGATCAGACTGTAGTTAAGAAGTCTACAAGGTTTAATTCAAACTAGCTGTTTAGTTCCAGACAGCAACCATTTCTCTGTCACTACAATCCAGGACTGGTACTTGGATCAAAACATAACCACCACACCTCTGAGCACTTCTATCAACTCCAAATATTGGTTAATGCAAGAACACCAAAGAATATGCGCAGGTGTAGCACCTGCTATACAATGGGAACAGGTCACACGCACTTTCAATTTGGAAAGCTTTAACGTGAAAGCCTGTGCCTCTGCAGCCATCTCTGGTCCCTAAAGAATCTGAAACTCATGGCTCTTCTCCTGTATTCTTGCATCCGAGCTCAACTAAACTTGCCAAGTAACTACACAGGAATAAAGGATCACACACTGTAAGGAAGTATCAAATGTTACTCCTTGCTAGCCCTTCTTGGGGTCAAGCTTTTTCATATAGGCAAGGATACAGTTTTCTAGAACTAAACCTTAGTGTCACTGAAGTTTACTCTCATAAAAATGAAAAGAAGCCTTTTAAAATAATTTACTGACTCTTCTGGAATGATACAGTGCTAAAGACTTAACTGCACTAGTGTTGTTATACTGGTTATTGCACACCAAACAACTCCCATTTCTCAGCTTTTTAGGTCTTTTACAACAGGCAGCAGTCACACTTGTGTCAGTTTCCACAACTGTCCTGAGGTGAACCCTCTCAGTTTGTTCAACCTCAAGTCTTCCACAGTATATGTGCACTAGAGCTCTTTCAGAAAAAATAATCCTTGTTTTCTGAATGTTTTGATCTGATGATTTGGTGCTTTTTCTCAGCTTCTTCCTAAGAGAAAGGTTTGAATGGGCACAGAGTTGTGTAATGCTGGTTAAGGGCTTTTGGTGAAACATCCAGCTCATGCTTTCACTAAGCAAGTTAAAACCGTTGCAGACAGCAAGATGAAATAGGTTTGTTTCAATCTGTTACTTCAAATTAATACACAACTTGACAATGTCTGGTTCCTGCAGTTGCCAGCACATTCCCTCAGATGTGCTGGCATATCTTTCTTCAGAAAGCGCAAGTCAATGTAATTAACATGCAAAGGGATAGGTGCGCTGGGCATTCAGGGCTCTGACCAATTTAGCAGGATAAGGAGGACTTAAAAAAAAAAACTCTAACTGGAGATTTACAGTGAAAGAGTACTTCAAATGTCAGCACCTTGTTGTGGAAGGTGCCAGTTAAGTAAGTGTGTACAGGACTGTGCTAACTACTCACATTCAGACTTCCTAAGTCACCAGAACAGCTCAGAGGCATAGCACTACTGTCATAAGCTGTTTAACAAGTTTATTTCTGGTAGCTAGAAAAGTCCAAAGGCCAAACACACTTCACTATTAAAATAACCCTCAGTAGGTGTTCCTGGTTTCTAATTCCAAAAACTGATGTCCTTTTAGAAATGTAGAAGAACCTACTATTGATGTCATTCGGCTCCAGCTGAGTCATAACTGAATGACCACCCTACATGAGAAATTCTGTTTCAGCACAATTCTGTGACAGCAGAAATTTACCTAAATTTCAGTCCCTGACTTCTTTCTGAAGTGCTGTATCTAAAACATCCCCCAAAATTAAGACAGACAGTGAAGCCTGAATATTCAAGACTCAAGAAATTTGAGCAGCTATACTAAGTCGTCAAAATTTGGAGTTTAGCAAAACACTTGAACAAGATGTGTCCTCTTAGATTCCCTGGTACAGTGAAAGTCAACAGAAACAGAGCTAAGTGACCATGAAATACATGCTACAATCACGGTGCCAAGGTCAACAAGCTGTTGTTTCCCTACAGAGCAGTCACAGACAACCTATTGTACATGTAAATAGAGTAAAGGAAGGAAGATGCAGACTCAGAGACAGTTTCCTTACTGCAATTGGCTAAAACATTACAACTTGCTTAAACTTAAGAACCATTCTCCTTCCCCTCAACCATCATAAGCCACCAAAGGCTTTTCAAAGTGTTCTTCATATTCATATGCAACTTCATGTTCACCTTACGCTTTCAACATCAGTCCCCTCCTTTTGATGAACTTACTTTATTTCTGTTTAGAGTCCTTATGATAGAAGTCAACTTTACCGAATCCAAAACATAACACTGTACCAGCTACTAGAAAGAAAATTAACTCTATCCCAGCTGAAAGCAGGACAATTTGGTATAAAGTTATTGTCAGGGTACAGTTGATCGCAGCAGTAGTTTTATAATTTCATATCCTCATATAACACTCCTTTAAGGCAACAACTGAAAAGATGTAGACTAATGCTCAAATCACCACATAGATTCTAGTCTCAGCACACAAGTGTCCCAAAACTCAGACTTTCGTAACCTGTGCTGTTCATTGTGGCCACTCCTACCAACTCAGCATAACATTACCCCTCTGTTCCTTATAAGTCAGGCATGTGTACTACCAGAGCTCCATCTATCAGTGCAAGTGCTTTATTTTGCCACGACAATGTAAGATTACTCTTGAACATTGACATCTGTGTGTCCAGAGAGATAAGAACAATGAGAGATCAGCTCTGCAGAAATGTTCTGCTTTTACAGCAAACTCCAGAATTTCAGATCCTACCGTTTTTCCCAGAACTGGAACATGTTTTGTAGAGTTAGTTTCAGTGGTGTAGGTACCACCGTTTTTTCCCACAGCTCCAAAGCTCTTCAAGAAAGCTTCCTCAAACATGGAAAAAGTTTCACACCTCTGTCCAGTACCTTTTAGCTCCAATTCCCATACCTCTGTCATGAAATCACAAATCCAGATATCACATTGGCCTAAATAAAACTTTAAAAGTATCCATGGTACTGCCCAAATTCATAAAACCACCTTTCTCCAGGCTGGAATTGCCATATTCAGCACACTGATAGTCAGCACATGTTGTAAAGGACACTGGTTCTGGCATGTCACCCACAGATACTATTGTTAATACTAGAAGTACTAAAAAAACCCTAACATTTACTGGAGTACTTCGTACAGTGGTTGCAGTATCAGCAGTATCTGTTCTCCAACTGAAGCAAAAGTGATGTTTAAGGAATCAAGCATAAGGTAACAGTGGAATTTTCTTCTTTATAGATTTCTTTACATCTCCAAAAGGATATGACAGTCTCCACCGACGACACCTAAACAGACTGCCATACCAGAGTTGGTCCAGCTTACCTGCCAGGGTTTTGTGTTTGATTCAAATTACCAATTCTTACCACAATGAGCTGCAGACTTACAGAACATATGGACTTAACACACAGAATCCCACTTTCATTTCTGGTATTTCTACAACAAGTTTTAATACTGACCATGTACTACAGACACACTTAGCAGCAGCAAGAGCAAGTTTCTTGGAAACAGCACTACTGCCTTTGTAATACAGTTTACCAGAGTTCTCTTTTGTAGGTCAGGTTTGGCAATGCCTACATCTGTCCAGCTGATACCACAAGCATTTCTTGTGGGAATGATGAGCAGTTTTGTGTGCCATCAGTTAGCCTTTACACTTCTGCTGGCTTGATGACAAGGATGTCCAGTGGATTTATGAGGGTCAGAGAGAAAGGTGTCACACACCCCACCTGGCATGCAATGCATTTCTACTTCTACACCAAAAGTGCTGACAAATTACACTATATGCCAGCAGACAAGAAGGAGCCAGGGCATTTCTGCTGCAAAGCAAAAACTCACCCTTGTCTTGGTGCATTAGTCACTGACTCACAGCACTTGCCCTGCATCACTTCAGCAAACAGCACTCAGAGAAACTACAGGTGGTAGATTTGCTCAGCTTGGTTAATACTTCTTTTTAGTCTGTCTCTAGTGTTCTGCTACAAAGAACTTTACACCAGGATCCCCCATCAGCCCATGGGAGCGGTGCCTGCTTCCCTTCCCCTCTCACCACAGAGCATTCCCCAGCAAAGTGAAGTATCATTGGGGAAAATGGTCAGAGGGGATAATACTGATGGGGAAAGAAATATGGAAGGAGTTATTGAAAAATTATAAACAGAACAGCAGTCACTGTCACTACTAGAAAAAAGGCAAATATCATACAGTGGCATATGATGAAGTAAGCTTTTCCCATATACTCTGGATTATTCACTGTATACACCTTTGTTCCTCATTCAAAAAAAAAAAAAAAAAGTCGATTAATGAGAGAGAGTCAAAAGGAAGGAAAAATAGTAAAGCAAATGTAGCTCCCATTAACTTACCCTTCCTACCCACCTTCCAAGTCCTAATCCCAAACCAGTTGTTACACCATTAGCCTGTGCCCTGAAAGTCAAAATCTGCTTGCTAGGTCAAGTTCAGAGCATACTAACCCAAGCAGAGATGCTTTTATTAGACTGACTTTTAAAGCAGAGTTGAAGAGCCTCATATTAACCCTTGCTTCCAGAGATTTCCAACTAGCTGTTCTACCTAAGCATATTATTGTGTATGAGGCGGGGTTAGGTAGCATGGCTTAAGGTTAACAGGAAAGTTTTAGTGTAATTTCTTTGCCGTACAACCTCTTTGCCTAGGGCATATCTGGACACTACAACTGTAAAATTACATTGCAAGTGACCCTCAAAATTAGACTGCAATTAAAGAATGGAGTCAGTAAACAAGGCTCTCATACCCTTGACTTCATTCACCAGGGAAAAGATGTGCTACAAGAAGTGCCGTCTCCTGGTAAGAATCTGCTAATAGGACTGAAATGCAAAGTGATTCAAAACTGTTCAGAGAGCCAGACTGGTTACAGATACAGGGATAGAAAAGACACTAGCGTTCAACCAAAACTGGC